CCCCAAAACCCCAAAACCCCAAAACCCCAAAACCCCAAAACCCCAAAACCCCTTAGCTTAATAATTTTTTTGAAAAATGGACATAGCTACGCCAGAGATGAAGACAGCCATGATGATGATGAAGGAGTCTCTGAAGGAAGAGCAGAAGGATAATCTGGGCACTGCAGCTAACATGCTGCAGGAAGTCATCAATATCTTTGAAGATAACATGCATCTCTATAAGGGTTCTGAAAAATACGAGGTCTTCCAGATCTCCTACAGCTTCAACCAGAAGAGACTTACATCTCTTAAGAACAAGATTCAGGAGAAATAAAAAGGAAGAGTCTAAGAAAGGAGAAGAAAGTCTTATTTCAAAAGAACAAATTTTACTTTACACCGGCGAAGGTCTCTATGAGAAGGACTTCCAAGATTCTGGTCTGGAGGAGAACAGTCCTAAACTAGAGCCTAAGCCTTTTGATTCCATGCTAAGACCCTTTTGGATGATGAGACGGATCTGTGAGACTATGGATAAGGAAGGTGGCTACATTACTGAAAATCTCTTCATTCCAAAGTATATCTGGTTTCAGAAGAAAACTCTTATCCCAGAAATTGAAAAGAAAGTTGAATATTGTGAGTCCATCCAGAAGGAATTTAAGAAAGTAGGAATCATATATCGTAAAAATTGCTTATCAAAGGAGAGAACTGAGATCCAGAACTTAGTAGAAATACTACATGGCTACAGGCAGTCAATTTACAATGATTTTCCTTCGATAAACGGTAAGTCTAGCTCATAATTCCTTCTACAGATGACACTAAGAAGCCTGAGTCTACATGGAACAAGATTAGTAAAGGTATCGAGCTAATCGCTCATAAGATTACAAAGGGAGCCTTTGTAACCTCCACGAGGGAATATGCCAAATGCTTGAAAGACTTGTTCGTGGAGACCTATTTCATCGAAGAGCTCTGTAAGGAAGAGACTGACCAAGACCTTGCCTGCATCTGTCACTTCTTAAACAATGTTGTTGTAGCCCTTGCTCTTAGTGACATCAAGTTCCTCACGAAGGAATACCTCAAGGTAATGAAGAAAGAGTCTTTACTCAAGAGCATGATGAAGGTCAAAGGTGCAATGTAGGCTATTTCTGGTGCTTCAATTTTAGATTTTGCGCATGGGGTTTTGGGGTTTTGGGGTTTTGGGGTTTTGGGG